ACGTGATCAGGGTTTGGGATTTGTTACTGCAGGTGATTTTGTAAGGTGAAGTTAGTTCAGACAGTCAACGGCCGATCGACTGGATGTAGAGGGGCCGCTGTTTATTTGTGTGAGCAGTGGGTGTGTACGCATTAGTGCTTTATGAGAGAGCAGTGTGTGCGTATATTTGCTGTCAAGCTTTATTTTTTTGGAATATTGCTTGTGTGTTTGTGTGTGCCTGAGTTTGCGCATGTGAGAGTTTGTTGAACAGTGTGTGTGTGTGCGTGTGTGTATGTAAATTTGTGGAGGAGTGTATGTGCTTCTGTGTGTATGTAAGTGAGTATTAGCATTCTCATTCAGCAGTAGTGTGTGTGTGTGTGTATTAGCATGCTCATTTAGCTGTCGGACCCCTGCAGTGCCATCCTTTCTCCAGGCAGCAGGAGGCCTCCATCACCAGCACTTCCTGCCTCCCCGACAGCTGGGCTCTGCAGGGGCTCAGAAAGAGGGAGGGGCTCCACCCTACCAGGACGGCCCACTGAGCCAGCTGAGACCCAAAATCACAGATGCTAACTAACATATTTGGACCCATTGACTGTGAATGGACGAACTATGCAAGTTGCTAACTTCGACTACCCAGGCCGGGTGGGGCTCCACCCCTCTTTCAAACCCGCCCACTCATTAAATATTCAGAACCACCAGATCAGAACCCCAAGACCCTCCCAAAACCTTTTCCACTGAACAACGAAGTGTTCCTCCCTCCATTTGTGCACCACTATACTGCTTCCCTCAGATGAGGGAAACATTGAAACAGAGACATCAGCCAGTGAGCCATGATCTGTGTGTGCTCTATCTTTTCTTCTTTTTGGTAAATAGTCAGCAAAAAGCTCCTTAGGATTCGTAGCATTAAAAAAAAAACCTTTATTTTCTCACCTTCAGGTTAACACTTGCTGAGATGCTTTTGTTTTACTCTGCGGCAAAATCTAACAAGGCTGATTAACACTTCCTTTCGCAATCTAGGCCATTCGTCCAGAGGATGTGGTGAAGTTTCCTGTACGATTGTGCTGCCCTCTGGGAAAAGACGAAGTACACGAGAGTGCTCCTGAGAGGGAACTGACCCCAGGGCAAAATAACACGTTTTTCAAAACATCACCCAAAGAGATTATTTAAATTCTTAACAGGTTTGTAACAGAATTGTTTGTTTTCTTTTTTTTTGTCTCTTATGAGAGCCTGGTGATACACCAGAGGTGGCTGGTGAGAGGACAATAGAGAATGCACAGAATATCCCTCGAAATTGATGATTGTTCTTGACCTGTTTTCAATCATTCGTGATTAATTAACATTACGAGTGCACTAAAAAACTCAGAGCTATAAGTTGTGGCCCCTTCTGCTCTTTAAGGTAAGAAGAGAAATAAAAAAACATAATTTCATTGCATAATTACATCAAAATCAATGGTATTCATTTGTGGATACTTTTTTGAAAATCGTCCTTTTCTTTTGTGGTAATGTAGACAATAATAAAGCACTGGTAAAATAGCCTGCATTGCAAGATGTGCTGACAGCAAAAGTGAAAGTGAACAAAGTACTGTATCTTTTTTTTAGTAAAGTACAACGTTTTTCTGAATAGAATTAGCCATTTAATCGCCTCAACAATGCATTAAGAAGGAAGCTATGAGTTTAACAGCCGATGGATTATTCTAATCATTTGAAAACTTCCTAATGAAGGAAAATGATTAAAAACAGGTCAAGACAAATCATTTGTTTAAAGGGATGTTCTTAGCATACTGTTTTCAGCTCCCCAGCTGCCACTGTGATGCACACAACCTTTAGCCACAGCTGGGTAACTGATGCCACGACTGTGGTAAACTATGATCTCAAAACCCCAGAAATAATTTGGAAATAAGTAGATAATCATTAATGAACCATTATCTAAACCACTTATTTCTGGGTAGGGTGCTGCATGGGTGGGCAGGGGTGCTGGAGAAATCCCAGCATGCAATGGACAGGAGGCAAGAAAACACCATGTGCAGGGCATAAACACATCATCGCATACGCACGTGCACACACACAATCACACTCACACACGCACACACGCACGCACACACTCCAGTGACCATTAAATGACCACAAAATTTTCCTAGTGTTGCTGCATAGATGTCATGCCAACATTGTTACATTGACTTAACACTCCAGTATCACCGTGAAAACTTGTTTTTTGTTCACTGCTCAAAAGTGGATGGAAAGTTTAGACTGTCTGATTAACATGGCAGCTGATGTTGACGGTTGAGCCCCTGATTCTGTATCATCTAGCTAGCGAACGATTAATTCCCGCCTCCGCTCAGTCTGCACGAATCGATTGAAGCTTCCCCGCCTAATGCCATGCAATGTCTCTCACCGCCGGCCGCCGTCGTCAATTTATCTAGCCGTGCCTTGGTAATTCATTTATGCAGAGCGTTCTGCACTCTCCTTCCTGCAAACCGCTGCCCAGCCTGCGCTCCCTGTCTGAATTCTAATGCTGCATTACAGTGACCCACTTACAACCCAGATAATATCTCAAAACGCCCTCAGACGGAGTCGCCAGAACAAGTGATAAATGGTTCGCCTGGCTACAAAGCTAGAGGAGACATCCCCGAGATTTATATCAGAGCCGAGTAAGTGCATCCGTGTGTGTGTGTGTGTGTGTGTGTGTGTGTGTGTGTGTGGTATGTGTGTGTGTAAGGGTGTGTTTGTACGTGTGTGTGTGAAGGAGACGGAATGCTGATGATTAACGAGTCTGACGAATCTTCAGGGCCATTGCATCACTCGGGCTCCTAGCATATTTTTTTACTAACACTGAGAGTTGGGCCTGCCATTAGCTGTGCTCATTTAATTAGCCATTGATTATGTGCGACTCTGTGGCAATTCCTGTTTGCAGCAAGGAAACAAGATAGTTTTATGTTACGCTCAAGACATTCCAATCAATGATTTTTTTTTTGGCAAAAAATAGCACCAGATTGTAAACTTTGTGGCATTTTGAGAATATTTTGAAGAAGTAGTTCAGTAGTGGTAGAGGTAGTGGAGATTATGATGAAATTTTGGAAGCTGTGTCACAGTAATCCCTTGATTCACGTCAAAAATTCACAAACTGCATCAACCTCGCCTTAAACATTAATGTAGATGTCACATCATTTTCAGTTTCTGGATAAATTTTTGGATCTATCCTGCGCACAACATCCACAGGCCACAGACACACCACAGGTTAGTTTCCACATTTCCACAGCATAGCTCTAGTGAAGTCCAGATACAACAGTGTGGGTTGGCTCAGAGCCTAGGTAAGCCAAACTAAATAAACAGACTTCATCCCGTGTAAAACACCATGGCAAGAAATTCATGCTTACTCCTTTTAAGTACAAAAGTTTTTTGACAAAACAGAATCATATCTCAAGCACACAACTTACACCAAGTGGGGCAGTAGAGACAGACCCAGGTAAGTCAAACGGGTGAGAAATGAGACAAGTTTGCGATCCTCGGCAATATGCAAATCAGTGCCTGTGCGAGAGAGTCATCTCTGCCTACGGGCTACACTGTTGACAGGCTATCCTGCAGTTGTAAACTATAATTACAATTTAAAAACTTACATTGAACCCCGTGACTGTGTATGAAAATATCGCGCTGACATGCTGTAAATAAATCTGAACACATAAATTTGGGTTTTCTTGGTTTTACAAGCACTAATTGCTTATCATTATTACACCTTGTTCTTTGCATTTCCTCTGTCCCCGTCAATATTATCGGCACTGTAATGCCCTCCCCCTTCTAGGCACTCCTGGTTCCTCGGCTACCTACCTTTTCCTAATTATTCCATTATCCACTGCTCACTCCCTGTTCATGTTTACACCTGGTTTTAATTCCTAAATTATCTTCCCTCCTATTTAGACCTTAGTTTTCCCTTTCTCAGGCAGGTAGCCTCACATAGTAACACTTTAGTTTAGAGCACCCCCAGTCTGTTCTTTAGTTTTATTCCCTAATGTAGTTTATTACCTCCGCCAGGAGATTGTGTTTTTGCCTCCGTTTATTTATTTATTTGTTTGTCTGACTGTTAGCAGGATATCTCAAAAACAGCGCCATAGATTTTAACCAAACTTTGCAGGATGTTAGAGTATAGCACAAGAGGAATGACTGCTTAAATTTTGGCATATCTAGGCCAAAGTACAGCTGAGATACAGGCCACAGTTCAAATTCAGCTTTGCTGGTGGAAGTATGGGCTCTAGCGAGTCCAGCTCTACTTCTTTCTGTTTCTGTATGCACTTTGATTAGTTAATAAATTTCACATCCTAGCATTTGGATCCTCCACTTGTCTTTCACTCACCCAGTGCCCCCACTCCATCCTGGGGCACCTGGCATTATAGGCACACTGACCAAATAAAAGCTACTGCTGTTTCCTGCCATTTACATATGGCCTCTGGGTGTGATCCAGGCACAGAGCAGCTGTAGGGTGGCGGTGGCCAGTATTCCTGCTGGTGTTGGGCATGATGAGAGGGGAGAGACAGCAGGGTTCCAGTTTACTGAACACCCGTGAAGGAGAAGGAGGAAGACAGCCGTGTGCGTGAGCCGTTTCCACGCCGACAGTCCACTGGCTGCTCCACTTCCTGTCTAGAGGGGAGGGTGTTGATGGTACTCTGTGCCACAGTCTCTGGACATTGGTAGTGCTAGTATGGACAACCCCTCTCATGCACCATCGGAATACAACTGCTCAGATTTTTCATGGTTGTTTGGGACAGTATTTGCACCATTCTGCAGCATGGAGAAATTAACAAACGCAAATGAGCTTATCTCCATCCATTATAAATCCGGATTATTTCAGTTCAGGGTTGTCGCTCATCCCAGCATACAATGCGGGAGAGGTAGGTACACAGCCCGGTCAATCCCTCACAGGGATCACGCACCGTTCATTCACAGAATTATAACAATGGGCAATTTAGGGTCTTCATCTTGCCAAAAATGCTGTGGGACTGAGGCGAACATTCCAGCGCCACAGAGACAGGCGCTAAGTGGGTTTCGAACCCACTATGCTCTTTTGTTGCCGTGAAACAACAATGCTGCCCACTGCACCAGCATGCTACCCCCACTGAACTGAACTGCATTGCGACACAAATGGCATCACATATGTAAATATAAAGAGCCAAATATGATATTTTTTCAATGTGATTATTCCTTCATTGTACTTTCCTTACATTGAAAGCAAAGCACTAGAGGCAGGAAAAAACTTTTGGATGACGCTTGAAAGAACACAAGGCGATTGGGGCAACATGTTGGCTAGATATTTACGGCAGAATGGAAGATTTCCCAGTGTAGAACGTGGTTCTATAGCAGCCAGCCTCATCTATGTATGCACCATCTGAAAAAAAGAGGTGTTAAATGTGTTTCATTAGTTCCAGGGCTGGTCCTGACACAGCTTGCACGGAGTGTGTGCTGGTAATGAGTGTTTTCAGAGTCTTCAGGCATTTAGGACTTCACAAAGAAGTCTCTGTCAGTGTGTGTGTGTGTGTGTGAGAGAGAGAGAGAGAGAGAGAGAGAGAGAGAGGGTAAATACAATTGTTTGAGGTGCAGTGGTCCAAGCAGAATACTGGGAGTCTGAGATGATCATTGTTCTCCTGGCATAGTAGGGGTAAAAAATTCTGCCTTCTCATCAAAATCAATCTGGCTCTGATTAGTGAGAGACCATTATATATGAATGGGCCTCAAATACTGATCTACAGATAAGAAGACGCCTTCACTGCCATTGGTCACCAGTCCCTTTCATAGGTCACTGGCTTCTTCTGCTGATATATGTGACTATTGTGGATGTAAACTTCAAAACTAACAAGCTGAAGAATTCCATCTCAAGCAATTGTTTGGTCGTATGTTTAGAGTTTAATAAATCATACTTCTATTCCTTTTTGCCTGAATGATACAAAGTAATACTGCCATTCAAGTAAGATATTTTGACTTGCTACAAGGTCTAGCGATGGGATAAGAAAATTTAATGCGTCACGCAAATTGGCAAATAGGAAAATATTTTACACTTGGAAGAAAAAAATGAAATATCAAGTCTCGCTGTAAGAGTAGAAACACGTGCAAAGTCGGAGTGTGGGGTTTAGGCAAATATCTCAGATTGAGCTTATGACAGCAGATGAAGAGTGAAAATTTTCGGTTGGACCACCCTGATTAGCGGATCCAAGAGAAAAGCGGGTATTAATGATAGCATGCATGCCGTTTTATTTGCTGTCCAAAAGGCCCCGCACACGTGCACATGCCCAGAGGAGAAACAAGCAGAGACAGAGAAGGAATTCCAAAACGGAGCCATGGAGAAGCGTTATACTGGAACGCACACGGCGTGTAGCTTAACGTCTGAAACACAACGCTTGAGAACATTTACTGCGGGCATGGAGAGGAAAGACGGTAATCCTTCATTAATGCTAATCGTGCCATAAATGTCCATCAAGGGGAAAGTCACCCGTACAGTCCCAACTTGCCTTGTGCTATTTATCTAACAGTGCTGCATACCTTAGCACAACTCAACTGGTGGGAAGGAATCCCTCTCCCAAAATATTACCCCCAAGCTCCAAGTCAGAGTACACACCTCAAGGGGACAGCCTCTTATTCTTTCCCAGGAGATTTTCCCCCCATTTTTCCACTGGCAGTTAGTGAGGCCTTGATGCATTTATGAAATGCTTTGAAAGCTGCCCCCCTCCCCCCAAAAAAAATAAAACAAAAAAACAGATTTCTTCTATCTCTGTCTGTACTGTAACGCCCAAGGTCATGACAGCAAGAAAACTTTCCTGTCACGCAGCAGTTTGACCTTTGAAGTTAGATAATTGACCGCTATTAGTTGAATATGAGAGACGGGACTCTCAGCATTGGTTTCCATTAATAGCCAACTAATGAATGACTGAAAGTTGACACTGATTTCATTTACAGTTTGATTAGGTTACCGAGTGCAAGTAGTGCACCATAATTGTCTACGGCGCAAGCGGTGAGGAAAGTGCTTTTATCTGCTCGGAGAGGAAGCCGACTGACTCTTGAAGTCTGGGGCCCAAGAAAATGTGGCATTCAGCCAAATTAACCAAAGCAGCTCGCTTCCGACAGTCATCAAGGCTTGTGCTGTGTATTACGTCCCCTCAAAGTTACCTTGCCTGTTCAGTATCTATGAAACCAAACTAGGTCAAATATAGTTATTTTTCTGACTGCTTCATGATATTACCAACTTCCCCCAAGTACTCACAAATGGCAGAGTTTTGAATAAATTTCATTATGTACCACCAAGTATAATAACACTTAGAATAATGTCTATAAACAGATCTGGCCAAAGATTTGTCCAAATCTTGTATTTCAATGATACAGCAAAGGCCTACAACAGCTGTATACCCAGGAAAGCAGGTAGGTGTATAGCAAGGTAAAATAATCATTCTCAATCATTTTAAATTCAGTGAATTCAGAATTTTATGTTGTCTGTTTGAGCTTTTGAGCTATGGGCCCTTGGTAGAAATTAGGTAATAAGAAATTATAAAAATAAAATACTCTTTTGTTCCATTGTAATTCCGCTGGTATAGAGATCAGTTCTGTTCTAAAATCTGCCGACTTGGCGCAACCATCATAAAAGGAAAAGTAAATGAGAGTTCAAGCTTGTCCCACATTTTATCATGTTGGAAACAGCGAAAAATCTCTGATGCACATTTACACTAGGAGCATACATCTTTCTACATCTAAAACAAATGCATCGTTGCAAATTGAACTACAATTTCCATTAGTATTACGACACTTGTAGTACGACGCAATGGCCGATACCGTAAAAGGGAACGAATCGTACTACGGCAAAATCAACATGGTGCCTTGCGTATGAAGGAAACGAAGGTGAAGAACGTATGATAAAATGAAGTAATTGTGAATATTGATGTTAGAGTGTAGCACAGTCGTGATTCTTAGAGTAAATATTGTTCGCTACTTTCACCGGCTTGCTGCATTGACGGTTTGCTGTAAGTTTCTGCCATGGCTTCGCAAGGGACCGCGTTACAGCAGAAGGTCGGTCGGCTATTAAGCAGGCAGCTGGGAAAGCCAACTCTGAAGCCCAACAAACCTCTTGTCTTGAAGAATGAAGTGGCAAATCGTGCGCCCGAAAAAGGAGGTAGCTAATTCTGTTAGGCTTCTTATTATTGTCGGATGATAATCACACACAACCCAATTAGCCGTCTTACGAATGTTAACTCAGTTTGCAAGCTAACACATTCTCTAGCTGGCTCAGTATCAGTAACTTGTGTAACATAATTTAATTTCCTGAGTTACAGCTGCGTGGTTGTCTCTTGATGGGTTACTCAAGAATTATAGGTCTACTTACTTGCTAAGATGTTTTAACCTCGGTAACTCGACCAAAGTCCTCTAATTGTTTTCTATATACAGTGTTGGTAATCTTAAGATTGCGACCAGACATATTCCGAAATGAACGTACGTTACGTGTAAAACTTAAAACGCTGATGAGTCCATCAGTTTGTGTGAAAAACGGTAACCGTAAACTCTGAATCGACGATGCTGTCATTGTGACTGTACTGTAGAGGCCACCTGTGTCACCGAGATGTCCGTGCTGATGACTTGCTGGAAACGGAACGAATTCAGCGACGCCGCATGTACCAAAGAAGTACAGGACTTCTACAAGTGTCTAGCGAAAGCCCAGGTAACTAAGCCAAAGAGAAGAAATCTGCCAGTTACAGTCGCGCCCAAAATTATTCATACTCCTACCAATTTTTGTGTTTTTTTTTTTCGAGATATTTTTTGACAAATCTAATTTATTCTTGCACAAATGACACAGTAAGTTGACATAAGGCTGTAAGAAATACAGTAAACAATTTTTCAAGAATACTTTTTGGTATTTTATTTGACGGATTTACAAAAAATGCCATGTCCAGAATTATTCATACCCTTTTGTCAGTAATTGATGGCAAAGCCTTTATTCACGATTACAGCCTCCAAACGCTTCGTGTGGTTGATCACAAGGTTTCTACACGTTTCCACTGGGTTTTTGGCCCACTCCTCTTTGGCGAACTTCTCTAGATCCTTAAGGTTTGAGGGTTTCCTTGCCATGACCTTGGTCTTCAGTTCCCTCCACAGATTTTTGATAGGATTGAGGTCGGTGCTCTGGCTTGGCCATTCCAAAATGTTCACTTTGTTTTCCACTAACCATTTCTTGACGGATTTGGACATGTGTTTAGGATCATTATCCTGTTGGAAGATCCAGTCCTGCCCAAGACCAAGTTTTTCAGCAGATTGCTTAATGTTTTAACTGAAGATCTGGATATACTGGTCCTGTTTCATGATGCCATTAACTTTAACAAGGGTTCCGGACCCATTAGTTGAAAAGCAACCCCAGAGCATGATACTCCCGCCTCCGTGTTTGACCGTTGGGACAGTTTTTCTTGGGTTGAACACTTCACCTTTCTTACGCCACTTACACTTCTCCAACCCAGGCACACAAGAGCTCGTCTAGCCTTCGCAAAAGCTCACCTGGATGAAGATACAAGCTTCTGGCTTTAAATGTTATGGACAGATGAAACAAAGATGGAGCTGTTTGGGCACAGAGATGGGGCTTTTGTTTGGCGTAAGAAAGGTGAAGCATTCAACCTGAAAAACACGGTCCCAACGGTCAAACATGGTGGCGGGAGTATCATGCTCTGGGGTTACTTTTCAGCGAATGGGCCTGGAGACCTTGTGAAAATTAATGGCATCATGAAACAGGACCAGTATATCCAGATCCTCAGTGAAAACATTGAGCAATCCGCCAAAAAACTTGGTCTAGGGCAGGAATGAATCTTCCAGCAGGATAATGATCCTAAACACACAGCCAAATCTGTCAAGAAATGGTTAGTGGAAAACAAAGTGGACATTTTGGAGTGGCCAAGCCAGAGCACCGACCTCAATCCTATCAAAAATCTGTGGAGGGAACTGAAGACCAAGGTCATGGCAAGGAAACCCTCAAACCTTAAGGACCTGGAGAAGTTTGCCAAAAACGAGCGGGCCAAAATCCCCGTGCAGAAATATAGAAACCTTGTGATCAACCACAGGATGCGTTTGGAGGCTGTAATCATGAATA